ACAAAATTAACATATGTAATTACCTAAATAATTATTCGTACATTATGTTACATCTAACTCAGTAGAATCACTTGTTTTGTAAAGTATGTGAAGTCAGACTTGGGTCTCTCCTTACTAGTAAAAACAAAAATCTGTTAAAAAGAATATCTTCCAAGAAGCAAAACTTTCTAGTACCAGACAGAAGCACCAAAGTGTTTTCTAACTTACTGTTGGTTTTATGATCATCTTTAATACTTCTTTTCAATTCAAGAAACAATTTTATGTTTAAATTTTAAGTTTAAATTTAAGTTAACTCTGCTAATGCAAAAATATCTTTCTAATTTGCCTACGTGTCTCCAAGCATGAGCAATAAGCAGAATCTGAATCTGAATTTCTTCAAAGAATGGAAAGGACTGCTTAGATTTGTATTTCCCTTGTTTAAATCAGGGATGAATCCAAGATTTGGAGCTACAGTAGTTTCTAAGGTTTTTTAATTATGCTAATGTGGATCTTTCAGGTAATATAAAAATGTTTCAGACACCTCATAGCAAAAGAAGAAAATAAGACAATAAGTAACCTTTAATGCTTATGTTTCTGTTAGTCAGGAGACTGGTGACATAGTTGATTCAAAAGATTCTTGCATAATCAATTATCCTAACCAGATATCTCCCAGAGGTTTTATTCCTCAGCAAGGATCATGTAACTTTACTGCTGAGCTATCCTTCAAGTCATGTTCAGTTGTGACCGAGTCAGATTGCAAATCAGATTACAATCCAGGCCAGTAAGGAATGCAATGCTGTGGCATGAGAAGAATGTGGCACGTTACCCATGTGTGATAACTGAGCGCAGCGTTGCTGCCTGTGGAAGAAATTGCCATACAGAATGAACCTCATCTTATTCATATAATTTCATTCCATTTCATGCCACTCACCATTTCAGACCCCACTATGAATAATCATGTGTGTTTGTATATGACAGAAAATAAGCATACAAAAACTGCCATGCATGATCCCGAATGAAGAAGAGTATTAAAACCATGTACGTTTTATTTTCAGTGTGGTACCATGTTCCTGAGGTTTTGGTAGCAGATTTTCCAGCAGTGACAGAAAAGTAGGAAGGAATTCAATTAAAGTTCCAGAGAGATTAGCAGATTGAGAATGGATCAGAAAAGCCAACAGAGGAGCCTTTCTTATGACACACTAATATTCTGGACTGACCAAATTCTTTGCATTTTGCTCTGTTATTTCTGTCCTGAACAGAAAGACAGCAGGAATTGAATGATAAACTATGTGCAAGTATACCCCTAAGGGGAAAACATAGAATTTATGCTGTCCCCAGAAATTAACTGCTTGTTTTACCTAGCTTGTTTTACATTTGTTTAGCCTTTTTGTGGGAAAAAGCCTCAGGCGGTGATTTTTTTTTTTCTAGACTACAAATTTGTGCCTTGTACAATTCAGGTTCTTCCTATGGACAAGATTAATTCTCAAAACTGAATCATTGTTGTCAGAAACTAATGCATTTGCAATCTGCAAATTAGACATCAAAATAAGACATCAAAAATGTAGTTCCTATCAGCCCGCATCCATGAGTCTAAATGCATAAACCTGGGTTTACTGGTTTCCTGCAAGAAACAAAGTGAGAGTGAAGTTAATAGTGACAGAAGGGCACTGCAAACAACTAAAGAAGAGATTTCAAGAAATGTCATATAATAATCTCAATTAGCTGACGTTTAAATCAGTTGTGTTTAAATGAAATCTGTGTTTCTTTGTTTTCTTGTAAATGTATATAATATTCTCTCTCTGAAAACTTGCAGACCTGTTACACACCATTTCCTTCCAGTCTTCTTTATACTCATTCATTTTACTGTTATTTGAGGGGAAGGAGGAACTGTTTGTTTGCCTTTATTATTTAAATTTCTTGGTTTGTATGTTATTTCAGTTCTTGAAAAAATAAAAACATTTACCACAGAAAAAGGATAAACATAAAAGAATCATGAAACCTCACCTTTCTACAAGGACTTTGCAGTTTTCACACCTTAGGCACTTTAAGTATAGTTCCAGAGTATTTGAATACAGCTGCTCAATCACAATTAATAAAGGAAAATTACATGGTGATTTTTTTTTGTAGTGAACAAATATACAAGAACGATATCAGAAAAACATTTCATTTCTGCTTTGACTTCTAGCTCTCATCTGCTGCAAGGTGCAAAGCTAGTTAGTGTGTCAGCTTGCCATGGTCCCTGTATTTCTCCTCTTTGTCTTTGTACCAATTTAGGTCTAAATGTTACCTGAAAATATTGTTGAAACATGATCTTCCTTCATCCAGAAGCTGATTTAGCTTTTGTACAGGCCACTGATTCTATCATGTGGGTGACTGTGGTTGCAGAATAAGCTTAGATGATCTTTATCTTGTGTCTTTTGGAAAACTTCAGGGTTAGTTGAGCAATCTTGCTACTGACTCAATATTATGTGCTTTATTAACCTCCAGAGTTTGTGTGGAAAGAGAAGAATGCTTAAAGATTATTCTTTTCTTGGGATGACTGATTTTAGAGAAGATCCTGTACCTTATTTGACTTCTTGTTTGGAGGAGTTTGTTTGTTGAGAACCTTGTTTATTTTTATGTGATTGCCAACAGAAGCATTACAGAATTGGAAGAATCCTGTTATTAATATTACCACAGACTGTAAGAGTTAAATAAGTGCAATGATCAAGATTTACAGCCCAGCTAATTAGATTCTAAATATTAAAGCCTCCAAAAATTCTAAATGACTGACTCCATGCCCTCTATCCATGCACACTTTTGTTATATTAAATGTTGATTACAAGTTTGTGACTTGAAAGCACACGGTGAACTATATTTCCAATGTCATGTAGCTCACTGAGCAGCTTATGTACATGCTAGTAACCATATAAATGGAAAAAAAATCCTAAGTTGCTGTAACTAGCAAGCCGTAAAGTAAGAAAACATTGACATAAGTATTAAGAGTATACTAACTATTAACTACACATCTGGAAGAGATGTTCTCCTCTAAAGAAAGATTACATTACAAATATTGTCCTAGTTGTAAGTGAAGCATTAGAATGATAGTCAATGTATTTATCAGAAAGCATCACAGAGAGATTTGGGGCTTTACTGGAGCCTGTTTTAGAAGTGAGGTAGGCAGCTGTTCACTGTCTTATACATGGGTTTATGTTTATTCATCTTTTCTATGTTTTTATTTGGTTGGTTGTTTGGGGCCAACAAAACTTTCTATTTGTTCAAATAGATATTCTAATCAATCTTGAGGCTCAGAAATATGGAAGATATGGAATAATATGTTTAAATGAGCATTCATTACAATTATATATTCAAATGTTGGAGGATATGCTATAATTGTGAAATTGGAAGTAGAAGTTATTAAGATGTAGTGGTACAAAATCCAAATGTTATGTGGCAGTTAGGCTCTAGTTAATGTAACTTATGATCTACAAATTTAGAAAAAGAAAGTTTTCATTTCTAGCACACGTGCTAAATTCAATTACATCTAACAAGCATGATGACAGGGTGCTTTTCATTTCCTCACTCAGAGAGACAAAGTATTTAACAAGTTTAATTGTTCAATATAAAGCGATGATGGGAAGCATATTAAAAAAATATCATCCAATCCTTCAGGAACATTTAAAGTACATGCCATAGTTGATAACATTTTCTGAACAGTAGAATAATTTGGAACAGTCATTTCTTCTTTACTAAGAAAATACATATTTCTCTAAAAAATAAACCAAAGGTTATTGGTGTATTGTAATCAGTAAGATATAGTATAACTAGTAAATTCTGTTAAAATTATGCAAAAGGATGATGATAATATATAGGTGGAGTATCTAAATCACTAATGGTGATTTAACATTCAAAAAGCTGTATTTTGTATTTAGATCCAAATTTATAAATGCCACTGAGGTCAATTTACCAGATATTTAGCATTACATTATGCTCTTGTTATTGTTGCTCAGAATAGTAGCTGCCTTATCTTAGATACTGTTTGCAGACCTATTGGCACCTACATTAATTAGAATAGGAGACATACATATATTCATGAAGTGAATTTGACCTTAGATACAGGACTAGGAAACATCTCTTCTTTAGTCATTTACTTCAGTTTCCTGAACAAAAGTGGATTCATCTTTTTATTATTTATAGACATCCCTGAAGACTACAGCCTTTCCATTTCCTTGTTCACATGGGCTGTGGTGAATCAGGTCTAATGAAACAGGCTCCACAGAATGATCCCCAGCACTGAAGGCTCATAATATCGAATAGTGGGCTCTTTCCCACAACACTTGTTCGGGTCAAGACCTAGAGGCTTAAGAAGTTGATTTTTTGTTTGTTTGTTTTCCCCTCAATCTTAAGAATCATAACTCTTATTCTTCTTCCTGAAACCAAACTGCACACTATGTGCAAGCAATTTTAAGATTCAAATAACATATTATTTCCTGCTAGATCAATAAACATTTATTGAACTTTTAATGCCACATCATAAATTATTTTTAAGGGACCCAAATATTCCAAATATGCTTCGCTAGATGCTTTTAAGATGGTAACATGATTTTTGTTTTTGTTTCAGAAAATAATGAATTAATTCATCTTTGAAAAAAAAAAAAAAAAAAAACAACTCTTCCTCTTTTTTAATTAACAGAAATAGAATTGACCACATCTTAAGCTCATATTAAATGCTTATCACTCCAAATAAGTTATCTGATGCTGGTTGTAATTCAACTTTCTGAAATAAAAAAAAAATAATTGTTTTTTCCTTTTTTTTTTCTTATTTTGTTCTAATATTTTCTAATGCTCTGCTTAGTTCAAAAGATGGAGATAAAATGTGCATTGCCCAAGATAACAGCTCTGAAGGACAGATAAGCATGTTGATTAGAGATTCTGCTCTTCAACTTACAATTCTACACCCTTGATGATACAGTTCAAGAGTGATCTGTTGAATTGCCAGCAGAAGTGCACTAAAATGCAACAGTTCAATACACAGCCATCTCTAATTTCAAGCTTTTTAATTGAATGCCAGTCAATTACACAGTTATGATCCATATCTTATTACAAATACAAGGTACTATACACACACATTTTAAATAGCACATTTTCTTAACTTTTAAACCATTTTCCTTTCTAGAAACTATTGCAACTAATCAATCAATTGTGATTATAATAACAGCCACAAAACATTTATTACTTAACATAATTATTTAAATGTAAAATTTTTAAAAATGCTATATTGTTTTCTGTTAAAACATTTCCCAGCATTAAATACTTCTGCAAAGCAAAGTATTTGTCACCTTCTCATATAAATATTTTAATGTTACCTATCATAGGATTTGAGTAGTTTCCAAAAACTAATTAGAATCACAATAACTCAGCAATCTAATTTACACTTAACCTCTCACCTTTTCCACCCTGATCCATGTCCTATTTTCTTCTTCATAGCTGCTTTGTATAGTGGCTATGAGGATACTAATTTGAAGTGAATTTTCAGCTTTGTTCAGAAAGCTCAGAGAGCTGTGGTCAATCTAATATCCTCTGACAGGGAATCTGAAATCTTTTAGTTCTGTTTATTGAATTACCCTATATTCTGCTCCCATGAGCTTTGTTTTTCAGATTGATAGATCATGATTAATGCAAAAGAGAGCAACTGAGGATGACAGTCTCCTCATGGAGAAATATACTCTGAAAGATGTGAGTAAAACATTTCTTAAAGGATTTTGACATTTAGGATGGAGACCACACCTTTGGCTTACCAATTTTAAAGGATACCAATAATCAAAGTTTGTTGTACTTGTATCAAAGTAATATGAATTTCAGTAATTCATTCCAACAGTTTTCAATGAGCAAGCCAGGACCTAATCATTATACAGAAGGCTTGGATACAGCCTTCTAGTCACTCAGGTGGAAAAAGGCCTTTTACAAAATTTTAAGCTATTCAGTCACTCTACAATGCCAAGTAATACAAATGGTTTTCTTTGATGGTCTGGTTAGCATGAGAATATGTCAGAGTAAAGTGATAGGCTGGAAGATTATAGCTTTAGCAAAATTCAACAGAATATTCTCTTCTCACTTGTATCATTTTCTATCTTGATGAAATCTGAATTTGCACAACTGCTCTGTCCTAAGAGCTGATTTCTGTGAGACACTGGGAAAGGTGAAAGCTGAGAATGTTACACACATTAGAGATGAAGAAATGGCATGATGGAACTATTGCCAGCCGAGATCGTGGACTTTAACAGTTTTTCCTCAATGAAAATATTCCTGACTATAGAAGTGTACATTAAGGATGATTATGAAAATAATTTTTGAGGAAATCCAGAATTAAAAGGAAAAACATATAGAGACAGTATATGTATTCCCTATATATTTCCTTGTATTCATGGACTAATTAAAGAATAAGAGGTTATGGTTCTCTTAGAAAATTAAATACAAAATTTTATCAATGTACCTACTAGTGAATAGTCACTGTGAAGCATTAAACAATTGATGCCCAGATTACATTTTTGATCTGTTTTATGGAACATTAGAGATGTGCATACAACATCGCACTATGCTTGTAGTAGTCAATTTAGACTGTTTACAGGAACATATGCCTTATATATGAAATACCTAAAGTTCCAGCTGAGTAAACACTCAAGTTTCCCATCCACTTCAAAGGTCTGCAAACAAACTTTGTGTACAATTTAAAGTGAAAAATGTGTATTATCTGCATCTGACCTTTTTCACTTAAAATGCTGTTCTGCCTTATCTAAATTATTTTTGACCTTTCTTTATTAAATAATAGGTGTAGGGATGAAAAGCTTCATACGTAATATTTCAGTGGAATATATGTTTATGGGCACTCAGATTTTATCAATGCTTTTTGTACCAAGTGTGAGCTCATTTGTCAGGAACCCAGAAAAATTGCAATATATATAGCTAGTAAAGCTGTTGTGAATGCCCATTAATAACTGAGGGTAGAGGGAGTGAGAAGGGGTAGTGAGGGGAGTCAAACGTGAAATATAATGATAGTTAAATGTTCTACAGGAGAAATACAGAGCTTAATATCAGGTTATGCACATATATTATTATTTGAGATAAAATCCTGTAACATTCTTAAAGCATCATTTTTAATTATCATGTTTTTATCAACTATAGCTAAAATGTGCTCTTCAGTTGTTAAATTAAAAACATAAGTTGCACACTCATATGAACTGCAATTACTCATTTAGAAACAAGCCAGCATGATTTAAAATCTTATAAGTAAGAAACGGTTGTCTGACATTGAAAGCTATTAGAATGAAATGCTGATAAAGTCAAAGGAGTGACTATTTTTCTTTCTTAAAGAAACATAGTTTCCCTCAAAATAAAGTGCATGCCACTAAACCTACTGAAAGTAAATGGACAGATCCTAGAAATACTCTGAGAGCAGAATGTTTGTATTCTGGTTTATGTTAATATAAAACAATTTAACAATGTGACGAAAAAGTTAATCCACATTTCTATTAAACTTCACCCATGAAAATAAAATCATAGAGTTTGATCTTGCTCTTAGTGAATTCAGTGCATTGAATTTAATAGAAAGATGACCTCATCACAGCTGAGTCCAGCTGATGCTGTAATTAAACAATTTTAGTTTGTTTTATTCCTCATTTTTTTTACTTCCCTTTCCCTTGACTGGAGTGCAATTTCACCAAAATAGTAGTAGACTAATCATTAACTGGTAGCAGTGTATAGACTGGAAATTGAGAATCTCAGTACTAGAATACCAGAAATTTATAGAAGTGTAGCTTCTGCTGAATGTGTGATCATTGTTTTTCTGCTCGCTTACATCCCAAAGTAATTAAACTATACAACACAGCTATGTACTTGTCTTGGTGCAAAGTATGCTGTTTGGAGGTCATGCAGAGATTCCATGAAAATATCACAGTGGGAACTATAGTTCATTTGCATTGTCACTTCCTAAAAATTTGCAGAAACATACCCTTGAAAGAATTAGGTCATACAAAATGTGGCCTGAGGGTTTCTCCTTTCTGTTTTCCCCAGTGGATTTCTGCAGCTGATGTGATGAAAATTGTTCTACATCAATAATTTTTTGAGTTAATCTTTCCTGAAAAAATTATTTGGCTTACGGAAACAAACAATCATTATTGTTCAGTGGGAAAATTTCCTTGTCTTTCCTTCTAGATCTGATCTCTCAGTACAAATGAAGTGATGTTTCAGTGCACATATAGGTGTATACTAAACTGGTGACAACTGTAATGATCTTCTGAATCTTCTTCAGGTGGTTGTAGTTAAAGCTATGTATTAAAAATGCATGTTGCGATGAATGTAAGCAAATGAATGCTGCAAAGTTTGTTTTCCTTGGATATTATAACTTACATATCAATAGCTACAGCTTCAAAGCTGAAAAGTTTTCTTTCTCATGGTATTCATTGCCAAAGTCTGATAGTCACACATGCCTTTTGCAGTTAGAATAATGGATGGCTGTGATTTTCTTGTACTTTTGGTACTGTGAAAAAAAAACTGTGAGATAAAAATGTGGTTAGTACTTTTCGTATTGCAAATAAGCTAATTGATCAGTGTGGTGATCAGACAGATGCTAACTTGCTCATTTATAGTTCTGAAACTCATTGACTTACATGGTGAGGTATGAATAGAGCTGAAAGCAGTATCAGGCCCTTTATTTCTTAATACTTTGTAGATTCCTGGGTTGCTTGCTTCTTCTTTAGTTATGAAATGTTTTGATATAAATAAGCACACTTTACTCCTGATTTTGTAATCACTCATACACTTACATGACGATTTCCTGAATCGGACACATATCTACTCGTGACACCAAGAGCTGCATTTTATATCACATTGGATTTCTGTTACTGAGAAACATTAGATGAATTTTGTTGAATTCATTTTCTGAAGCTTCTGATATATATACTTATGTATTTTCTCTTTATTTTTTTCAGTTTTTTTTAAAGATTTTTTGTCTGTTTTGTTGTTGTTGTTCTTGTTTTTCTTTTTGTTGTTGTTAATATATAGCTTAAGCTTGAGCAATGTTACAAATTAGATGATGCTAATTTATCTTTGTTCACTTTGCATTATAGTTGTAGCATTTTTTTCTTAAATATTTCTTAAATATATTAAATATATATGAGTATGATACAGAGAGAACATACTTATGTAATTTCTTTAGATTGCACATTATAATCATATATTTAAGTGTTATTGCAATATAAATTAAAAAGAAAAGGAATAAGCTTGTATCACTTTTAGATCAGTTATTACTTCTGTGCAAACATAAACAGCCATAAATAAATGAAGATAGATGCAGAATAACCATCTGTTAGGAAGTTAGTTCAAGTCAAAACACTTAAAACTTGGCACTGTAGCTGTATTCATGTAAATCTGTATTTAAGTAACTAGCCTCACGTACAGATGTTCTGTTTCACTGCAGCCTTCATTTGGGAACTGGTAAGGGCTCAGGATCAGCCTGCTCAGGTAGCTGCCTAAAATTGGATTCAGGTGCTAAACTTTGGGAGTCTCTGTTCGGAAACATTGGCACGAGTTCATGATCTAACAAAAGGTCTGTCTTACAGCTTCTTTATTGCTAACTCATATACGTAAAGGTCAAAAGAGACTCTCTCTGAGTAACTAATTTGATAATTAGGTGAAATCTTCTGGATTGTGAAAGGTTCAGATTTGAAACCACACGAGCTGAACAATGCTGTATGTGTTTCCAGCTTCCTGGAGGGGTCCTTCACCACTACATTTTCATAAAATAAAAACTAAGGCAGCCCTCACCCATCTTTCTTTACCTGCCTTCCTAAGAATACAAGGGTTATGGGGCCACAATATATCTTTGCTGTAACTCTTTGCCCTCCTCAACTCCTGTAATATTCTAACCTATTGTCTTGTTTCAGTCAGACTGGAGAAGTGGTAGAATTTCTAACAAAGTAAGCATCTGGGTAGAGGGGAGAGATCCAACAACGTGCCCATAGTGAGAGAAAGATTGGCACAACTCAGTTGTGCCAATATTGCAAGTATATTGCCATATTGCAAGTGTAAAGATTGACAGTGAGACAAGGATTGCAGTAAGCGTGCTTGGGTTTTTGCTAATGTACCAGTTTTATACACACAGCACATACAAGGCATCAGAACGGGCCTTAGCTGATACTAATACTACCTTTCAGCTGGTAGAACATATAGAAAACTTACATTATTATTCTAAAAGGGCATAACGCTGAACAAACACACATTTGTGGAAAGCAGGTATCACTACTGTCCCGAGGCACAACTTGCTTTTAAAGAAAGTAGTCGGTGTCACCCAAAAGGAAAAGCAATGGATATCTATCAAGAAGATAAATATCTTAAGGAAAAGTTCTGAGCTGTAGCTCCAGGATGGATGCAAAATCCTGAGTCTTGAGGTAAAAGCAAGATTTTAGACAGTTGGTTCTACTTGCCACTTCCCACTGGCTGCCTCTGGGAGACTCCATGCTTAGCCTTTTACTCACTTGGGCACTCTTTTGGGAATGTAGCACCTGCCTCATGCAGGTAAGTCTAGTGCAAGCCTATGGATTCTCCTGCAGAGCTCACGTGACAGATTCTAAGTGTTGCAAAAGACTTGATTTGGTCTGAAATTTCAATTCTGTTTATAAGAAATTTATACCATGATGTTGTCTCCCTCACTATGTTTCTAATTCTGCCTGGCTGTTCTCACAATTGTCTTCAATGGGTATGTGAAATCAAGTCAGTCGGTTAGCTGAAAATTATGAGTGTTATTATTGTTCCTATCCTGTAAAACCGAGTTCTTATCTTATAGTATCACTTCCCCTACAGAGCTAGAATCATAACTCCTGTTTATGCCCATCTGAGCTGCTAGATATGGATATATTACAATGGTGAAGGTATGTGAATAAACTGATATCAGCTTTCCTTTCTGAACAACTCCTGAGGATTTGGAGGCAGTAGTTATAGTCTCACTGCTAGACAACTATCAGCAGTTTGGGGAGCTGTTGAGGCAGATGGCTGAGGCGCTAGATCTGATAACAAATAAGCCTAAGATGACTTACTGACTCTTCAGCATTTTTTGATATTAAGCAGAGAGGAAAGCTTATGCTTCTCTATAATGAGGATATTACCAAACCAGCAAGAGATGTCTGGATGATTCTATTTTTGATCCATATAATTAAAAGTAAGGAAGACAATAGAAAAAGAGAGGTACTTAAGCACTTGCAGGTTACTGGTACCTCTCTTCTCATATACTAATCAACAGCTTCGGTACACCTCCTCCATCTTAAAACAGATAATACTTATGTTGATAGCACACATTCTGTAGGATCCCTATTCTTATTTTATTAAGGTTGGCCTTCACTTCTAATCATTTCCCAAATACACATATAAGTAGGTGAGATTCTTTCTCAGAACTGTAAAGAAAAGGTATTGGATCCCTGCTACAGAAGTGTGCAGATAAGCCTATATAACTTTTCACCTTGTCTTGCTACTAAATGACAGTTGAAAATCAACAGGCTTGGATATAACATACTGATTGGTAACCATCAGTATATACATGAAATTGCAGTATGGAATAGCTTACACTATGGAATAACTATGCTGATCCATAATGTACTTATTCATATAAATTGGAACCTTTCTGGAGCATGCTTAAGAAAATTAATTAGCCAAATGAATGTTCTTGGCTTTCTTTCCTCCTTTTTCAGCCTTTGTTTTTCTTTGTCTTGTACTCCTCCCATGTTCACATTCTTGTCCTTGGGGCAAGAATTGTCTATTTTACTTATCAGTCAAGTTCCCGATAAACTTTGTCTGTGCTAGGACAAATAATTCAGGAAGCACATTCCAGATATCACCATTCAGTGATGAAATTTCTTCATGACTCCTCAAGAATGTTGCTGACATTAATTTATAGACTAGTATAGGTTATTCCTTTCCCTTAAAATAACATTCCGTATTTTCCTTCAAAAGTCACCATTCTGCATTAGATGCTGTTATCCAGAAATGCTCAGTAATACTTTTCTGAAGCAGCATTTTCTGTTACTCCTGAGCCAGAGCTTCCATGGGTACCAATTCAGCACTGCAGCTGCAGAGTTGCATCACAGACCTTTATACTCACAGCAACCATTAGCATTAGGCAGTGTAGGATGTGGAATAGCCATCTGTGACCTGGTGGAGAAAGGTGATAAAGGAATTTTGTGAGATGTTACTTCTCTATTTCCTCTGAAGGATGACCCTATCCACAAAGCAATAAGCATTCCAGGAAAACTGTGAGATAATATTATTCATGAAGTATCTCTCACTTAGTCAAGCTGTATTCCAGGTTATCTTTTCAACGTGTCCCAAATTTACTTAAAACAAAACAAAAAACCTCATGACTTTCTTTCATAGCAATGGCCATTTCATTAAAGCTGGTTATAATGTGAGTGCTACTCTCAGATTATCCATGTGCAAGACAGCATATTTCAGTAACCAGGGAACATTTTTCTTGACAGCTTTTTGCTTTTGTTCTTCATTGGAATACATGAGAATGAAAACTGGCAAATACTCAATAAGAGCATATTGTGCTCTGCAGTGCTATTTACCTTTTTTCTTGGCTGTTAGAATCCTCTAGGCTAGCCTGAGTTGACCAAGAGCATTCAGCCGTATCACTGACTTCTTCGTTTGTCTCTTCCTCCCTGTCCTGACATGTGTTTGTGTGTATATGAGCTGTTTTCCTTTTGAATCTGAACAGATGTAGGCTTGCCTGGGACCAGAGATAGAAGGGCTGTAAGATGAGTGAATGATGCATAAAAAAAAAAATAAAAAATAATAAGATTGCAATTGCAAAACGTAGCATGCTTTACCTACATATTGGAGAATGTAAGTGGTCGTATTTTACTTGTTATGTCAGGATTAGCTGGATATTAACAAATTACAAATATGTGATCTGTGGCTGTAAGGCTCTGGCACAGCAAGATGTCAGGGTAAACCCTCAAATGACCAATGCAAGGGAGATGAACTTACTGTGACTAGTACACCTCCATCAGCTTATAGAAGTTAGATTTTTGCAGGAGTTTAGGACAAAGAGAGCAAAATACTAATTCAGCTGAGCACCAAAGATTTTTTTTTATCAATCCTTATTGCTGGTCAGATTCACTGCTTCTGTAGTGAAGTGAATGTATTATAAAATTTGTCACAAACTGACCTAGAAGTGCTTCATTGTTAGCAGCTGGATGTTTTGTACACAAAGGCACCCATACAGATATGGGAAACGTATTACTAGTGTGAAGAGAGGTGGAACTTTCCCTGCTGAGCATGTCATGTATCCTGTTTGCACGGAGAAAAAACATTTTTACTTCCATTCCTAGTCCCAGAATAGACAAGTTTCAAGGTCTATTTCAGTAAATGTGGAAAATCAAGTATAGGCTTAAGAGATTATGTGCTTATGGATAATTGTAATTATTTATGTGTAAGCAATGTAAGAAATAGCAGATTTTTGTTTCATATACTCATACATGTCAGCAGTAAATTTTTATCATGGACACTGTAAATCAGAAAAACAGTCTTAATTCTTTCTCCTGTAGGTCGGATTTACAATTGTATTTTATTTTTTCAGAAAAATACTGTATGGAAAAGGGAAAAGGTTCTGCATTAACAAGTTTTATTGGAATAACACAATTTTTTTAAAATAATGAACAAGAATAATAAAACTTAGTAAAAGAAATGCATATACTTATATATTTTAAAAATCCTCTTAAAATATCGTCATATATATGAATAATAATTTTATCTCAAAAAATAACACTAGCTATTTCCCATCTTATTGTTTTTATACACACCTGCTATTTGCAGTTTTTTCTTTATTATGACCAATTTTATTTAGGCATCATAAAAATGCTTGTATTTTAATAACTTTACACTGCAATTACCTTGTGGAAAAAATAGGATTAGATTTTATAAAACACAATCTGGAAACTATGCTACCTACTACATAAATGGAGTAGTAAGTAGATTCTATACTGATAGTAAAGGGAGTAATCTTATAGAATTTGCATAAGAGGGAAAAAAAAAAAAAACTTCTTTCTGTCTATTGCAAGAGTGCATCTGTCTCAAGTCTTAGTAGGTGGTCTCAGTAGTGGCACAGGTTACTGGATAAAACATGTATAAGTAACTTCTGTCTTCCTAGAAACCCATTGATGTTATCAATGGCATTTTTTCCTGTTAACTGCTGTTGCAGTTCAGCTCCTTCAGTTTCTTGAAATTGAGCAAAGTGGTTCTTGGATGAATGAAAATGTCAGGCAGTTCGGGAGCTCACAGTATCAGCATGCTTCACTATTCAAGTCCCTGCCGTTTTGATAGCAAGCTGGACAATAAGTAGTTGTACCTGTGATAGTTGACTTTTAGCAATTATCAAGACAGGTTATGTACTTTCACAGCATGCCAGCAAACAACCTTCCTGTCATTGATTTATCTCAGAACACGTGTTTAGAGGAATATATGATCCAGAGAAATTAACAAATGATAATGATGTCATTTAACATCAGTAAAAAGTGCTGACGAGTTCTTTGAAGGCAGATATCTAAGTGCCAATATTTAAAATAACATTTTCAAAAGAAGCTTTTCTTAGAACAATATGGGAAGAATGCAGCAAGCTATACAGGAGAGCTTTCATACCCCACATTCCTCAAGTTGCTCTTCTTCAGATTACTATTTTATCATTCAAAAAGATACAACAAGATGCAAAGATTGTTTGGAACAGCTGCCTGCTGTTTTCTTTCTGTAGAGCTGTAGGCCCATGATAGTGGTAGTATGTCCTCACCTAACTGTGTGCCCCAGGATACAGAAGTGTCTTGTTGGCATATCAGGATACACTCTCCTTAAGCATCGCTTTACAAGACTGAACTGCTGTACAACAGGAGTAAGTTTCCTATGATTTTAGATACTTGCTGTTTTTGCATGTCTCCAAGCATTATGGCTTTTCTTATAAATCTGTCCATGATGTAAGAAGATCTCAGGCATTCAGCTCACTGTGCTGGATGCTGCTGGACCTCTTGCTTTCTTCATACCTGGCACCCTTTTGAATTACAGGTCAGGCAACAAAAGGTTACACGTGTAAAGTAAAGAAGGGCAAGTGCTTTCCAGTTAGAGTCATTAATGAAATAGTTCTCCCTCTTCGCTTATCTTTCTTCACATTTAATGCATTGAAAATTTTGAAAAACATAAGACAATTTTTTGACAGGATTAAAAATCAGTCTGTATATGATGTATATGCAGTTCCAGTATTGCTTTCTAAAAGCTTCAGCTTTCACAGGTCAAAAGCTGTGAACCTGCAGAAACACCACATCTAGGGGACAGGATTTTCCTTCTCTTTTATCTACCTTGCGTTCTTTGTATTCTTATAGGTAAGGAATACAATATATATATATATATATATATATATATATATATATACACATACATTTCAATTGTATCAAAAAATTACTTTTTTTCTGTTTGAAAAGCTTTATAAATTCAAATCTAAGCTTTTCTTAATGAAAAAGAAATAGCTGTCAACTAGTTTTTCGTAAGAATTTATTTTATGTCCTTCTGTTGTTCATTAATATATGCAAATTCATGTCTTGGGATGGTCATTATTTTTTATTTGTCATATACATTGATCCAATTGGAAAATCACAGAAAGAAACAGTCATCAGATTACTGATTATGTGATATTACTTTCTCTGTCTGGTTTCAGGGCAGATCACTACTTTCCAGTTGCAGAGCTATCTGTCCTTTAAACTGAATAAATTCTGCCTTTGTCCCACAGCAATGAAAGAAATCTTCACACATCTACACAGTCATTCATAGCTTACATCTCCTTGTCCTTTCTCAAATCACTGCTAAAACATCCTCAATAGACTTTGGGTTCTTGCTTATTTCCCTTAACTAGGGAACAGGAAAACTACAAAACTGGCAACTTCAGGCATATCTAGCAACTTGCTCCCATAATTCTGATGGAAAATTTGTAATATAGTGACCCATTTTTATATGGTTGCTTTCCAGTGGCAATAAAGGGCTCACCATTCAATTACAAGGTTACAAAAGCTGTCATCGAGGTCATTTAGTTGACAACTAAATTTTTGACAGGCCAGCTATACCAAATGAGGTCCTGAAATGATATCAGTTTTGAGTAGCATGTTTAGATATGGCAAATTCCATTAATATGTTACAGATATTCAAAAATAGTGATTTATTAGCACAGAGTAACAAATTACTACTGAGCTTTTTGTTGTAAAGAAAAAATAAGAATACTTTCCCTCAAAATAATTTTGGCTACATAAAAATATTCCAAGAGAGGAAGAAGAGGGGAAGGAGGACAGGTTGTCAAGCACCATGATTTTAAGTATGAATGAACTCGATAAAAATTGGCTGTTATAGCCAATACGTTTTAAAATGAAAGCATTTTGGGACTTTCAGCTTTGTCACTTTTAATTACTTTTATATATATATATATATTTATATATATATATGTTTATTACACACACACACACACATAAACACACTTATTTTCCATAGTTTTAATTTCTTTTGTATTAATTGTGCCATAGTTGGATGAGGAGCTAGAGTGACAAGCAAATGTATTTCACATCAGAGCAGCAAAGCTGTGCAAATTTTGCTCTCCAACCGTGTTTTCCATTAAAAAAAAATATTTACTTTGTACTAGTTTACATATGTCCAAAATGATTGGAAGAACATCAGATTCACATAAGTGGTGCAACTCTTGTTGCACTTTAAGCATGATTTGTGGCCTAATTTTGCAACAGTAAACAGTGTACCAAGGCCACAGAGATCTCAGACTCCAGTTTCAGTTCCCCTGTTGTGCATGCTGTTTATCTAAGATTATTTAACACTACTTTGTTTGATATTGATCACTAGCACAAACATAGGCAAACTTCAAAGTCAAAATTAATTGGAGAAGTTTAAATGCTTAGTGAGGAAAAATGTACAATAATCTTTTCTTCTTTTTTACCTCATTTGTCAAAAGTATTTGCTAATATCATTTGTTACAGAATCTGTGATTTCTACATTTTTTAGTTCAACTTAAAAAAAAAAAAATCTGGACTTAGAATGGATTACATCTGATGTTGCTAACATTTCCTGGAAGTGGAAAACTGTGATAACAGCTGCTGTCTTGGCTCATTTTCAGTTGCTGTTTTTCGGTGGATTCTTTTTTTATTGGTTTTGATGGTGGTTTTTTTTTTTTTTTTGTTTTTTACTGCAGCAATTTACAAGTAGTTACAGCTATCTACAGTAGGCTTGCGTCATTAGTAAAACATTGTAAGTCAGTCAAATGTTTCCTTTCCAATCTGAGTGCTTCCTCCACTTACTGAATTGTTGACTTTCTGAATAGTATTTACAGTAATAACACTTGCATTCTAAAATAAATGCTAATTTATGAAATAAGCTAAAAGCTAGCTGCATACAGAAGATAACAGTAGAAAGAATCTATATTTTATGTTAAAATGCAATGCCTCTAATGAGAATTTTAAAAATCTTGTAAGCATCTTATTTAGACAGACAATACCCAGCAAATTTATATCAAATGTATAAAGTGTTTTGTTGGTTGTTTTTTGGTTTTGTTTTATAAAACTTATGATGAGCAGAAAGTTCTGTATACTAGTATTCTTAATTCCATGCATACATGATTTCTCCTTGGATTGAAATTTCCTTCTGCAATCTTTGCAGTATTGTAGCATTGTGAAGTGATAAACATTCAGCACTAGTGATGAAAAATAGAATGAGGAGCCAAGTAAAGCAAGAGACAAAGAACTCTAAATGCTGATAGTGACAAAAAAAAAAAAAAAAAAAAAAAGGTTTGTGTATATTCAAAGTTTGCCCTCCTTAAGGTTTATTATTACTTCCAGCTTTAATGTTTTAATGTGTTTTGAAAGATACGTGTTTTTGTTGTGTTGTTGTTGCTTTTTCAAATGATGTTTTCATAGTATCAAGAGTGTTAACAAATTTTTATTAGTTTTTCATTCAAATCTGTGCTTCTTTCTTCTGTATATGATTAAGCTTCCAAAAACAATGTTATATAAGCAGGATAGTGTCTGTTTCTATGCCAAAAGCTTGGTTTTGCTTTGTATCAAAACAGACAACAGTTCTCCCCGTGAAGCAACTTCAGCAAATCCATCTTCACCAAATATGTTTTAATATTTAAAGAACACTTCCCTTCATCACATATTAAATGGCTGGTGAAGAGCCATGCCAGCTCAAGGACCTCTGCACCATTTCTGGTTCTGGGATTACTGTGCACTGAGCAACTTCAGGTATTTGACCCTGAGCAACCTGATCTAACTTTGAAAATGGTGCTGACTCTGAGCAGGCCATTTGGACCAGATGACTCCAAGGTTTGTTCCAACCTAAATTACTCTATTGTCTGTTCTTTCCAGTTTTTGAGATTTGGGACCAGCCTGTGTGAGGCCAGTTTGTGCTTCTGTGTGCACATAATCTAGACACGTCCTAAGAAACATCCAAAATTGGTGTCCATGTTGCTGTGAGCCTTCAGGAATGGAAGACAGAATTTTATGTCTGTGTTGGTAATGACTCAAAGTTGTAATCTCCGTGTGCCTCGTCCTTTACTTGAGTAAAATGAACCCTCTGTTTCTTAGCCAGTGACCCTCCATTTCTTGGCATCCTGTAACTTTTCACAGACTTGCAATTAAATGAGCAAGGAGACCAAGCTACCTCATCCTTCCTGGAGCTGGCAATTTCAAAGCAGAACTATGAGTCAGGGTGGCAGGAGCGGTGCAAAGGAGTCCTGCCTCCTGCTGCACTGACTCATCAGGGGCTTTCACTTTCCGCCCCGGTCAGGAAGCCAACATCTTTTATGGCAATTAAACTAATCCTAACAAGAGGACTTTGAGAAATTTATTAAGCTCTGAACTCTACCTGAGCAGCAAAGTTATGAGATGTGAACCCTGACACACATACATGCCAATCAGTATATTATGTCAGTGAGCTTTCATTTATGTTTTGATGCCAACTCCTGGAAGGGATAAAGTCCTGAAATTTGACACAAAATATATTCATGCTAGTTTGTACTGCTTAACTGTATGTTATTCTATGATAGGCTTTTTTTTGGTAGAAATATGATTCCATACTGAGTAATACATCTGCACACTGCAATACCTTCATTGTTGTTTTTTGAAGAAAAAGTCTTATGCAGTTAGTGGTTAGCATGTTGGATTAATGTAATCATTTTAATTGATGAAATGGCCTGTTGGTTTGACTAGGATGAACTGAGGTAGCAGTTCAGAAGTGGTTTTTACCATAGTTAAATTTCACCATTAGTAGTACATTCATCGTCTATAACAAAAAGTGCAAATGCATGATTTGTGTCTAATATTTTCCATGACTTGGGGCAAGTCACTTTACCTTTCAGTATGTCTGTTTCTCAATATTCAAAAAGGGAGAGATGATGCCTATCTTTCCAAGTAGCTTTAGGGATTTATATCCAAGAAAGAAAGAAAGAAAGAAAGAAAGAAACAAACAAACAAACAAACAACAAAACAGCAGCCAACCAATCTCTCTATTGTTTGTTAACTAATAGTAGTTTAAAAATTTCTGCCTCTTGTTCTTAGATAAACCCTCTTGCTCCAAGAAAAAAATAAATCTATGTGGTTATATATGTGTTTATAAGTTCACCTGTAAAGAATAAAGAAATGGCCTTTGAATTACAATTTGATTACAAAAAAAAATAAAGTTTAACCTGGGGACATGGGGCTTTCTTCCCAGTGTCTTCAGAAATCTCTTTTATGTTTCTGTGCTCCAACACTAAGCATTCCTCAGATATTTAGCATCCAGGGAAATTCCGATATCCCAAGATCTACAACGTTCCTACACCAATAGGTGTATTCAATGTCTATACAATAGGTGTATATAAATGAAAACTCCAGTTTGAATCTGTGCTTTCCATGAAACAGAGCCACCATCAGGAGCACGATCTATTATCTGTGACTTACAGAAAGGTACTTTGACTTATTTGGGAGAAACCCCATTTGAGATCTGGCCTGCCTCAAAGTGAAATCTAATAATCTGAAAGAATATCTAGGCCACTTTCAGATGCTAACAAATGTCTAGAGGTACGAATAGGTCTTCCTGAGCTTTAACAGTTGATTTACTTTTCTTGTCCACCCTAGGACTTAAAAACTGCCCTGTGAAGCTCTTAATGCTTTGAGAAAAACTTGCCTATCCTTCTTTAATGCAATACAATTTAAAATTTGTAGTATTACCATAGTAAATTTTTAAAAATGAAATGCAATACATATAACACTAGATTTTCTTTAATGTCCTGAATCACAAATAGAAGCATGTCTAGACTCAAATGCAAACCACGTTTTATAGCACAACTCAAATCCTCCTCCGTTCCCTGCCAAATGCTGAGTTCAGTCCCTGCAGGTCTGAGCAGGGTTTCCTCAGCTACAGCGGCTGGCACCATGAGTGCTTATGGCAGAGCAGGGAGTGCCGCTGCTCGCCTTGGTGTGCTGGCTGGTTTCATCAGCCAGCGCAGGTCTTGACAGGTGCAGAGCCTTCCACCTCGCTTTTCAGGGCCGTGGAGCCCTTGGTGCAGGATTTAGGAGACTGGGAACTAACGTTTTGGTCCAGAAAGGGAAAACAAGATATTTTCCTGATTGTAATCCTCTAGATCTGCAAGCACTGCTTCAGTGAGCTTCTTCTAAATGCAATAACAACATTTGCTCTGAAAAGAGTTCTTGATGCATGATGAATTTGCCAGACATTTCACTTTGAGACCAAGATATGACAAATGTGCTTTCTCGCATTTTCATGTTGATTTATTCTCCCTCACAAAGGACAACTTCATAAAGAGCTTGAATCAGATCCACGTTCACACTTTACATATGCAACATTTTTGTGGCTGACAAAGTTGGCTCCTCATGCAAACTAGCTTGGAACTGAAGTCAAATCAGAGAAGGGCATGCCGAGATCGCTACACTTCAGTAGCTATTTTTTCCAACTAATCATCATTATTATGACTAGATATTTACCCTTAGGTGCATTGAGCAGATCACTCTGACTCATCCGTTCATTGGATGTTGTCCTGTTGGGTTAATCATTATCTTTTTGTCTGAAAGATTTTTTAATTCCTCTAACTGCCTGGGATAGCTATTTTGGTACTTACCAGGTGACCTCAGTGCTGACACAGCCTTTCTGGTATTGTTGGTTGTAACTTGTGTCATGACCTTAATGTGAATTATGGCTGTCTTGAGGATACAAACCTTCATGTAGCACAGATGGTCTGTAGGAAAAAGATGTTAATGAAGGTCTGTACATCACACATTGTCTTCCCTTGCAGACTATTTCCTTTACCATTGCCTCATTCTTGTGGGCACCTTTTAATCAAGCTTCTAAGGTATAATTTATTGTACAGACTATGCTCTAATAAAAAAGACTACAACACGGGATTCTGGAAGATGCCTTTGCTACCAGCATTATCACTGCATCTTGTTGGCCTCCAAACTTGCTTAGTTCTCCATTATGCATTGTATCACCATTACTTCCAGAGAGTAGATTTTTTTACTACTTCTTTGAAAGAATGATGAAAGCTGTGTAAGCTCATTAACAGAGCATGTGTGTAGGCTTAAAATTACAGATAATAGACAAATGGTTGGAAAGTCAGTAATTCCTTTACGTATTTGCCAAGACTTGGGTCAAAGTTCAGAGTTTCCTTTGCTCAAACTGGTGAAATCAGAAACACCTCCAGGTGTTTTGGGGAGTGTTGGCAGTGCACATGCAACACAGGTGAGGAGGCACAGTTGATCTCAGGTGTTTTCTGCAAGAGCAAACCATGTCTAGTCTAAATTGCACTCAATTTTAATGTGCTTTACTTTTTGCATAATATATTTTGTATAAGCTAATTCAAAGCCATAAGCTATTTTATTTAAGAGCTCTTGTTTTCTATGCACTCTCAGAATCTATTATTTCTAACATTACAATCAATTCATTGTAGTCAATGTTGATATCACAACCCTGGCTTCTCACACACACGAAACGAATGGTTAATTTATAGGAAACTGTCTGTGTCTTTAGGAGTAATCATCACAAAGTATTTAATGTCTTTCTACTCTGAAGCCCAGTTCTTTTACGTCACATCTGCATTTGTGTAAACATTAAAAAAAAAAAAAAAAAAAAAGATATATACATAATTGACTTGGAATGCAATCAAATATATAACATGGATATTCAGGAAAAAGGCAATTTTTACCTCAGTGTTTGTCTTTTCCTTCATCAGCATGGTTCTTCAGGTTTAGTGGTAAAGGGTCACAGGCTTAAAATTCAGATCTTTGGGCTTAGATCAAGGAAAGGACGTAAGGGTGGAGTGCAGCTCTATGTCTATACCCTACAGGACTTGCGTTGTGGAGGCAGCACTGGGAGCAAAACCTGCCCTCACCCCTTGTGGGCACCGCATTTCTGATGTGAAAGGGAGGCACTACACAAAAAGTTGGTTGCGTTGTCATGACAAACGTGTCCTTAGCCGGCTGGCTGAGGCTGTAATAAGTAAGCAGCGTTATCTGAGATGTTAAATGTGTGACATGGGCACGTTGCCACCACAGCCTGGAGCAAGACCACTGACTGACTGCATGTGGACTCCCCACGGCGGTGCGACAGCCGCTCCGCCTGGCCAATGCACTGCACCTGGTCAGCATACATTATGCTCTTACCAAATTATTTTTGATATGTCTTAAAATATATCCATATTAAGGCAGTTTTCATTATACTGTTTTTAAACAAAATTGAACATATTTTCCTCTTTTAAATGTCTTGGCATCATTGCAGGTGGATTTATTTCCTACTTGTGTATTTTGTGTTCTCACAGTTATTTACACTGTGAATTTTTTTGAATGATTACGCTCTGTGTGTGAGTGTGTGCCACCCTTGCTAATCCATGTTAGAGAAAGCAGGAGCGAATGTTACGGCGTGTAGGGGCAGCAATAATTTGTCCTTTTGACACTGGCTTAATTTTACACATTTTTCAGGGAGCAGAAATTGAATGAGTGCCATGTTATACTCCAAACATCTCTTTTAGGCCAAATGACATCCCCTCAACCAGAAACGACATAAGCCTGTGAATATGATGTCTAACATGGAACAATCCCAAAGCAATACCTATTGAAGATTTCAAAGCATAGCAAGTCTAGCTTAAGTCACATTTTGTAGATAAGCATTTATGCATCTGGCAGTAGAATTTTGTCCTAAATAAGCAATGTTATGAAATAAAGTAGTAATGGTATTAAGAGATTAACTGTGTAACAGAGAGTCTATCCATATCTTATAATAGCATGTGTTTTCTTTGGATTTTTACTTAGATACTAAAGCAACACATACATGAGCAGCTTTTGAAGGCATATGAACGGGGAGCCTGACAGAGCCTTACAGAAAAACCAAAAACATCCTGTTTTCAAATTCAGCTGTTTTGTGTCGCAGAGCAAAATTTCTAATAGAGGGACAGTGACTGAGGAGCAATTCCAATTTTCTATGTCATTATTTCAAAGCGTACCAGCAAATTTAATATAATTATTTGGTTTTCTTTTTGTTTTATTAATCAGTTAATTCAGGAGATGGGATAGACTACAGCCAGCAGAAGCGTGAAAATATCGGAGATCTGATTCAAGAGACACTGGAAGCCTTTGAACGCTGCGGTGGAGAAACTGCTTATATAAACATTAAATACATGATCCCTACTTACCAGTCGTGCATATTAAACTGATCTGTATCAAATGGGATGATTCCATTTGTGTTCTAAAAAAACTGTGTCTGACTCTGTGTGGCATCTTGTTAGTCATGCTTTTTTTCTCTACAGCTGCTAAAATAGTGGCTTCTGGGGCATTAGAGTGTTAGCACTATTGTGAACAAGTCTTTCCAATACATAAATAGTGCCTGTTCCTTTGATTACAATGGTGTACTGTGCTTGTTTGTTCCGTGAAAGAATTGCTTCTTTATAACAGAGCTGACTCGAGCAGGAATCAGAGTTAAACCTTCAGTTGTATAGACAATAAAACTATAATTTTCATACGCAATTCAGCAATTGCTGTTCTGTGTCCGCTTGCCCTGAGGGTGATGTCAGAGGCTGTAACAAGAAGAGTTTATGCTGACTGCTTAATAGGTGTTTGTCATGGAAGAGAAACACCAGTTCAGCAATGTCTCTCTAGCAGCTGTGCCGAATAATGTGCACCGACATACAATAAAACTGTTGAATGTATATACCAATTATAGTGGGAAAATTTATGTGGTCCATTATAAACCGCTGTCAGAAAATTAATTAATGTCCCTTACACGCTCACGGTCTAAGCTTCCAGGTGTTTGCCTTGCTCTGGACCTTGGGTTCCTGTCAGTGAACATCAGGCATGACCACAGTTTTGATGGGAAAAAAAAAAACATGATCAGACAGAACTCGAATAAATCAGACAGAAGACAGAGTGTACATAATATGTCAGTTCCTAAAGTCCCTATTAATCTAGGTACATATAATATATACGTGTATTTTAAAGGGTGCTGGATATTTTCTGTAGCTGAACAGTTGCTGTCACATTTCTGTTATTACTATAGTATATGTAAGTATAAACAGTATAACTATGGTTACAGTAATCCCCTAGAATTCCTTCTCAGCTAGTTTCTCCCTGCATACACACAACACAGAATTGACATGATCGTAGCTTTATGATTGGCTTTATTGCTTTGTAAGCATTTCTGTGGAATAAGCCTAGAAAAAAATAAAGCAAGTTTTACAGTTCTCAAGGACAATCATTTAAAATTATCAGGTCAGCTCAAAACAAATCAGGAGATACGAACTTTGTCTAAAAAGCGTGAGGTTTTAAAAAGTACAGACTTTGGGCTCATTTTGTGTTTATTCTGGTTTCTGGAAGCTCTTAAAATATATCCAAGTTGCACTTTCAAGTATTTCTCTGTAATTAGTAGGACTCAAAATACACTCTTTTTGTTAGAAGCATAAAGCTTCCTCCAAGTGCTCTCCTGCCTCCGCGTGCGCACATGACAAGGACAGCCTGTGCGAGAGGCACAGCTCCTGCGCTGCCCTGTTCCCTGTTCCCTTGGTGTGGGTGTGCCTTCCTGACCCCTGAAACGCCGTGCTGGGTCTGACATTAGGCTGGCATTAGCCTTGCCTATGTCTGCTCCGTAGGATCTTCAGCCTGAGACATTTTTCTTTTACTTTCTTCTCTTTCCTGTAACTGAAGAACAAGTTAGGAGGAAAAGGAGTTGCTGCACCAAGGGATGCCACTGGCCAGCAGTGCTCCCCAGCCCTAGTTTCAAGCATGACTGCTGCAGGTGCGCCTGCTTCCCAGGCTCCAGAGACCTTCCTTTTCTGTTTGTTTTTCAGTTACTGCTGAATTTTCTGTTACACACTGCCAGGGTTTCTCTCCGGTCCCTAGAGTTCAGGCAGCGTCTGTCCTGTGACTAACGCACACCTGTGATGGACGAGCACAGCAAATGCGCTGCCTCGCAACCAGGGTGTCTGTAAATCTTTCACCTCCCTGGCAGAAAGAAATGTGAAGCCTGGCTGCAGGCCTGTGTCTTGGGAAAATCAACAGCTTCGTCTTCGAAACTCACAGAGCAGAGTTTAGCAAGATATAGCAGGGAGGCTGAGCACATCTTCTCTTCCAAAAATGCCCTTCTACACATCCACCCTGGCACAGCAACACAGCCTTCACCTACAGTTTCTCCCGCTGCTTAAACAGCAGCCCCCGGCCTGCCCTGGGCACCATCCCCTGGTCCCACGTTAATGGCACTGGTGGGTTTGGTATGGGACATGCACGTTTCCACCATGAGTAAGCAGCATCCTGGAGGACTGCTGCATGAAGGGAGCTGAGTTAGTCAGCTCTGAAACAAATCAGGCCTCTCACAAAATGAAAAATCTCAGGTCACCTTTCATTTCTCAGCTATTTATGTTCTGTCCTGACGAGAAAGCCCAGCCCCACACTTGTGCCCAAGATCAAAAAGCCTCTCAGCAGCCAGCTGCAGCTTCCACCCCACTGGGCTCCCACCACAGAGCCACTCTCAGGGGTGAAAGCAGGGGACAGGGCTCTCATCCCTGCGGCTTCCTCATCCCACCTCCCTTTGCATCACTGCAGCACTGCTGAGGAGCTGGTGAAGCTGAAGCCACATCGCCAACTTTGAACTCCATTCCCTGGCTCTTTGTTGCAATTTTTGCATCTCCTCCCCTTCAGCTTGGCTAGGACAAAACTAATGACTGACAAACACAGGCTAGACACTGGAAAACGGACACCTTGTGCAGCTCCAGACTTGCCCAGACCTGATCCCCGCAGCCCTGTTCTCTGTTTGAAGATGTCTTTCGCAAGAGGTTGCTTCAACACGGGGTGACCTTACTGCAAACTGTAAGGGCAAGAGAGGTTGGCCCCATTCACATCAAGGGAAAAGTTTTACAGCTAAGTGTTTTTACTTGCATGCTCAAGAGGGTAACGTCATTAATCATAGGAGCTGGACTGATAAAAAGAAGCTTGACAGAAAGTGCAGTCCAGTAATTTAGGAAGACTGAAAATAAAACTATTTTAGGATGTCATCTTACGAAGTCAAACTGTAGGCCTGCCAACCTTGCCAGTGTCCCTTTAAGCATGATCAGCAGCATATTTATAGGCAATTACAGCACAGCTCAGAGCACTTTATAAAGCACAAGATCAAGGACCCAGGTGCTTAAGCATATGAGTAATATTATGTCATTCAATACACTGCCGAGCTATTTTGCTGTGCTCAAAAAATGGAATTGTAGTTTCAAAATAGTAACTGCCTCTCTTTCCTCCAGACCATGTCATTGTGGTCACCGATACTATGGGCAGCCAATCATGAGTTTCTAATTGTAATCAATTAAAATGCACCCTGAGCCAGGTTTTTCAGGGAGTATAAATTAAGTGTAGCTCCATTAAACCTATGTAGACCAGAAGTGGCCTGTGTCTTAATGAGTTCTCCTGTTACTTTTTATCTCTCTGGCCACTACAAGGTAAGTGACATTGGGAAAGGACCCTGTGGACAGATAAATAAGTTATTGGTTGGGTTGATGTCTGAGGTGGATTCAGTTTATCTTAGTAAACACATTAGGTGCTTCAGGCTGGCTGGTGGTTCTTTAGTTGGAAAAATAAAAAGCACATGCTTACATCTAAAAAAATAAATAATAATCTAGCTGTGCTGTTCTCTTTGCTAATCCTCAACACAGGGATAAAAAAGGGGAGAGGATGGGGGGGAAGGGGGGAAGATTCTTCCCAAAAGCAGTGTAAGGGAACTCTTTATCAGGTGTCATATATTTGGGAAGCCTGGCATCTTGTGGGTGCTATGAAGCAGTGGTGGTCCAAGTTGCTGGTGGCTGCAGCTTGACTGCCTGAAGCTGTGCAGGATTTGGGGGCTCCAGTGCCCTGCCTCTGGCACTGCCAGGGCTATGCTGGGCTGCTGGGGTCTGGCCAAGCCCACACTGGTGGCAGGGCATCAAAGCCTGGCCACTCGCCTTGTGGGGGCTCCTGAGGAGGCCTCGCGGGGGTGAGGCATAGCTGCAGCCAAGCTGGGACCAAAAGAAGAAAAGAAAGCTGAAGCAGACACTGTGTGCTTTCCTAATCCTGTCTGGAGACCCTCTGACTTCCAGAAAAACATTCTCCAGTCTGAGGGGCTCTGCAGGCAGCAGGGCGGTCGGCATTTCTCCGCTCATCTGTAACATCCTGTGTTTTCTGCTTTAAATAAAAGCGGCGATGCTTGCAGGAACTCAGTACAAAGCCTGTCTGCCTGAGACTGCTCGAGGTCTCTTTGTGCCTCCTGGAGACCGGGGGAGGACAGCTCATGCCCTGGCAGGACGAGACGTTCCCTGCCCCGGCCCCACGATCCTTCTGGCACACAAGGGAAGGGGATGGGAGCATCTGTGCCAGGCAAACCCTGGCTGTGCTTGCTCTTGCCCAGCAAACATGGCCTGCGCAGGCCCAGAGGTCCCTGCTGTGAGCATCCCCCTCCCAAGGGCAGGAGCGCTGGGCCTTGGCCACCCGGCTGCAGCGTGAGCAGGCCTGGCTCTGTGGGGAGGGACTGCGAACAGCCATCCACATGGGCCAGAAGCTACAGAAGAGCTGGCACTGCCCCAGGGGCGGGTGCACATGGTGGTGCGCCTGTGGCCAGGAGGTTCTTGGGACTGTGCCCTGCTGGCTGCCCTGGCCCGTGTCTGCAGGAGCCTGAGAGGTGCTGCCACTGTGGTGTCCCCTGGCCTGGCCGGCCAGGGTGTGGGGCGAAATGGGAACCAGAGCTTGTGCTCTGCGAAGGCTGGAGGGCAAAAGAGAATCAGGAGCAAGCCAACCTGCTGCCTCCAGCCTCCGCCTGCTCTGTGGCATGGTGGGAATGCACTGGTTTGGGGCCTCATTTCTGCACCTCTTCCACCTCTGTGGCTGTCTAATACACAACTTGGTAGAGGTGAACTGATGCACTGTATTTAATGTGAGTGCAGATGAATGTACTGGTGTTTGTGGCATACAGTGTGCCCATGTACAGTTGTGAGCATTGCCACTACTAGCATCCATACAGTGTAGCTCTGTCCCCTCTGTGGGACCTCACTATCCTTGCATAAAATCATATTGTCCTTCATATATAGGTGCAGAGATCAAAAACAAGCATGGACAACTTCCTCAAAAATCATCTAAAACTCTACGAAGTAACCATAAAACACCCTATCCCAAAGTGTACAGCATAGTGTTGGATGCTGAGCCCCCCTGGGTAAGGGCCAGAAGAAACTCATGTCCCATAGAGAAGCCACCTCCTGTTGCACGCTGTTGCATTAATTGGGAGCGGCCTGGCTTGAAATGTGTGGTCCATCCAGCTCTATCAGCTTCCAATTTCTGTTTTCTGGGTCTAATTTCTAAGCCCTTCCCAATGGAACAATTGCCTAAAAGCAACGCTACTTGCCTAGCTCCAGATCTGGAAGTGGCGAGTGGTCTCCTTGCATCTTGCCATCTCTCTTTTGTGCATTAGTGACATTACTTCATTTGTGAGAGCTCACGCTTCCTGCTCCTCCTGTGTCCCTAGGGTGCTGATAGAGAAGCTGTGTGAGCGGAGCGGGCAGAGGGGCAGCTGATGATGGAGCCATCGGGGAATGGTTATTCCAGCAAAAGCTTTTGCCTTACAGTTTACATTTTGGGAAAATGTGAATTTTGGGGAAGTTGCATCTGCTTCATCCCAGAGCACTCCCTTGGTGGTAGCTGAGGCAAAACATATCTGCAATAAATCTTCCTCCTTTCTCCCCTTGTGTAATGCTGCAGTGCACTGGGAGAAAAATAGCTGTGCTGCTGTGAGGGTGGGGGCAGGAGAGAAAGCAAATGGCAGGGAGCTCTTCTCTGGTGCATGGGATGTAAGGCTGCGTTTCTCCAGCTTCTTGTGGCCCTGTAGCTGCGCAGCCTAAACCTGTCTTCTCTGGGCCACCATTTGTCCATCCAGGGAATTTTGTGAGGCTGAAATGTTGTGGGATTTTCTGTTGATGTGAAGAGCCATGTAGGGACCCCAGCGCTGCAAAGTGGGGTAGCCTGGGGCCTCCCCCATGGGATTTTCAAGGTGTGGAAGAAGACACCGAGGCAGCTGCTATTGGGGGAACCCCTTTTCTACAGTTGTCTTTTCCTTGATCCTTCCCCTGCCCAAACCTGCCTGCTGCGGCCTCCCGTTTTGGTTGGCTGGATGTGGCAACCATCGTAGCTGGGAAATTGCCATGTGCCCATGAGGGCAGCGCCAGCACCTTGCTGGGCAGGC